CCTTAATATTGACTGGGATCTTACCTGCATCCCAGACTGGTCCAAGGATCTGTGGTCTTCTCCAGGAAAGTCCTGGTGCTGTCCTGAAGATCCAGAGATCCCTCAGATCCACGGGAGGTCAGGTAGAGCTGTCCCATCTGGGGGGCCAAAAATGATACCAAAAGGCAGCACAAACAAACTTTTAAACACCAATTTGTAGATGTTAAAAAGGGAATTCTTTATTCAGCGTGCTGGAGAGCTCTTCTAATAAAACATGCCAAGTGGTGGATGGATAGAGCTTTTAATTACACACTGTTTACGTATTCACTAGGTATTTTGGCTTCCTTTATACATATTCATTAGTTTATTTATATAGCCACACCCCTGGAAGTCTTTCTTTGGTCTTTCCAGGTCATCTTTATCGTCTTGACCTCAGTTCCTGAGCAGGTACAGCATCATTGTATTCCACCACCCAAAACTGTTATGTTTGTTCTTTATTTTATATTCTCTTTTATTTTTATCTCTATTTAGTTGACATCTTCTTTGTTTGAGTACACCCCTATTGAATTTTCTAGGACTTCTCTAAGATTATATTGCTCCTTGTTTGGGCATTCTGGGATACTGAGAGTAAAGTTTCTATTTCTTCCATCAAATACCACAGTTCATTTTCTCAAAACAGTTCTGGCTCAGTTGTTCTCCCTGGATTCCAGCTCACCTCTGCCTCCTCTTGTAAAAAATTGTGCTTTGGGAAATAAACCATCTAAAATAGGAATGTAAAATATTTATCTAGTTCTTTCAAAACATGATAACAAAAAAAGTAAACAGTATATAGTAATTGATGATGAATTTCCCTTGAGATTGACATGCATATTTTGTTGGTTTAAATCCTGGCATTTTGAAACAAACCCAATTATTTTCATGCCATGAATAATCATTAGGGAAAACCAGCAACCCTGCATTTCAAAAAAGTCGTATTTCACCTGGAAATTCAATCGGAGAGGAAGAGCTCACATACGAATCACTCACCCAAAGAGTTAAAACATTAAGTAGGAATGAATTACTTACGTTATCTTCCTCTGTATTATCACTGTTGTTAAATTCATCCCTATCTTTGAACCCAAGTGGAAGTGGTGGCCCAATGAATTCATCACCTTCATCATCATCATCATCATCAGTATCCTCAGCTGGACCTTTAGCAGAACTGGGGGATTGCTGGAAAGTCACTCTGGGATTGCTGGAAAGTCCACCCATAGTACAATTCATGTGTACAATTTGAAATATGTTCAAAATCCTTGTTTCTGAGGAAAAAATATCTCCAATTATGAATACACTGTAATTTGAACACAAGGTCAGCCCGAAAATTTGAAAAGCATGGGATGTTCAAGAATTCAGCTCCTGGGAAACTCTGAGCCAGTCATAGAGAGGAACATAAATATTGAAAACTAAACTAACATTCAAAACACAACTATACCCCAGACGATGTTGGTTACCAGCAGCTTTGTTTTCCTCCGAGTCATCTGTTTTCTGATGTGAGAAATTCACTCTCAAAAACTTTCAGGATTGGCAAAATCTTTACCCATGAAGGTCTGAAATGAGCACATTAATATAAAAGCTGTTGAAACATTTTTTTTCTTGGTCTCAGCGTTGCAAAATCGCAAATGGCTTTTCTTATTGGTCAGTAAGCTGTTCATGGGTATCCATAGTTCAGCTGATGAAAATAACCAAAAATGGGCTGAGTTAAAATAATCATCGTTTCTTTAGCTGCGAGAATAGTTGGATAGACTTGAAATACTGTTTTTTAAAAAATTTGGATGAAATAAAAATTGTCATTGTCTTTGCTGCAAAGGGGGTTTTTGGGTTGTTTGAATAAACATGTAACAAAGAAAACCCCACTAGAAAACAAAAGAAGGCGAAGCAGATGGGCAGCCTGTTGTGGAAACACTGAATGGGAACACCTTGGGCTTCAGCTCCATCTGGGAATAGCAGCCCCTCCTTCCCAAGCTTTGCCTCCTTTTCCCTTCCCTCATCTCCAGCTTCCCCTTCTCACACTCAGCAAAGAGGTTTTTCAGTCTTTCCTCAGTAGACGTCTTTGCTGAGGGTTGCTGGGGGTTCCCTGCATTTTTTGGCAGCATCTGTAGACAAACCAGACAAATTATGCCATTTATGACCCCAACAGAGTGAGTAAGTCATGTACCTGAGAAAACAGCACTCTTGCTAGAATATCTCTAACTACTTACCTTATTTTTATGGCAAATAGATATTTGGTTCCCTCTGGTTTCTGAACAGAGTCCAGTTGCACTCTAGTGGTTGTATTTTAGGATTTCAGGCATTTTGGAATTTCCTAAATTCCATCTTGCCACCTGCTCAAAGTAACACAAATCACTGGCAATGGAAAATATCCTCCTTCAAGTCCTCATTTTTTTTTCCTATCAAGCTAAATCTTTACTGAGGGTTGAGTTCATAAAGAGTAATAAGTTCTAATTATTTTTCCCCCTTTCAAGTGTCGTATCTATAATCCAAGTATCAAATTTGTACAGTGACAACAATTCCCTCCATCCCTTTTCCTGCACTTGGCAGTCATCACCATGGGACTGTGATTCAGCCACTAGGTGGGGAGGAAGCCTCGCAGTCCCACTGCTGCAAATTGCTTTTTCAAATTGGCAAAGACCCTGTTTTTGCCTCTTGTATTAATGCACAGACATTGCAAAGCCAGAGTTAACACTTGACTGCAAGAATTAAGGGAATAAGAAATAAGGACATGGAGGAGTGGAAAGTGTGGCTCAGCAATTATTATAGGAAATAAGGATTATGTTAAAAATACTGTGATTTTTAAAGGATGTAAAAATAAAAGCATTTTTCCATGAATTACTGGCAGGACCTGCCCCTGAGGGCAGGATAACTGAGATTCTTGTCAGTCATAGATCCCTTGGGTGGGATTAGAGTGAAATGACACTGAATAGAGTGAATAGCATATATATGTGTGTGTGTAATGTATAATATGTAAAATATATATAATGTATATAAAATAGATAATGTATAGAAAATAGACAATGTATATCTAATATATATAATGCATATAACAATATATATATGTATAAATACGCAATGGAAAGGAGGTATGTAACCATTTTGCTTATTATCCATAGAAATATAACAATATAAAACTATAAACTTATCACTTACTAAAATGTACAAGCAATAGAAAGAGAAAGAAAGACTAAGAGCACGTAGTAGAGAGGAAAGATATCACCACTGTGGATCCAATGATGAGATTTGATTGTTGTAATTTAGATGTAAGTTGACCAAACTGGTGAAAAAGCATTATCCCACCTCGCCAGGGTCTGCTTCCCTTATCTCCCCCATCTAGCTCAAAACCCACCTTGTTGCTAAACAAAGGTTGTTTTCTCTGCTCCCCACACTGTGCCCCAGGGGGGAATATGAAGATCAGAGATTTTGCCACCACGCACCCAAAAATCTCTCCTCCTCCCCTTCGGTTGTGGGGTGCAAACCAGGCCCCAGCAAAGCATCTGCTGCTTTTGCAAAGGGCCCGGTTGTTTGAGTCAATAAAGTCACCATTTCAGCCCCCCACAGTCAGAGCTGGGCGTGCACCTTGGGGTGAGGTGACAGAGGAGGGACAATAGGCTGTCAGTGGCAAATATTCCCGGGATAAAAGGAACAATCAACTCAAAAAACAGAATTAGGCGGGACAAAAGAAAACCACGTGGTGAAGACCCATTGTGCTTTGGGATTGAGATGAACATGGAGACTAAATTCTTACGAGGTTTGAACTTTTTTTGGTTTCTTAGGGGAATGGACACATAACCTGAGTTATTCTAGAAAAACAAACCCTTCTGAAAACTGTTCAAAGCAAACCCTTGACCCCACTTAAAACAGGGACAGAACACCACCAGAAAGAGGTGACAGAACACCACCAGAAAGAGGTGAAACACGTTGCTGCTGTTTGAAGGCAGCAGAATGTGAACAGTGTGAATTTCCCCCCCTGTGTTGCCTAAAATGGTTTGACTCTCACATTTTCAAACATCAGTCACCAGCCCATCACTGCATCAAAAGAACTGCACCATTGGCAGCTGCTGTTGAAGAGACACATTTATTATGTGAAGGTTGTGCCACTGCAGGGTGTAAAACGCCTTTAAAACACCAACTTTTTTAAAAAGAGGGAAGAAAAGGTGTCGGTGGAAATGTATGCACCTGATAACAGCTGTAATTAGCTGCCTATTTACTGTGTGCTCATTTCTTGAAGTTTAAAATCGAACTCCTAAGATTCGAAGTGTATGATCAGTCCCAGCAGACAATTAGGATTTTCCCCTCTGAAATGTGTCTTAATTACCAACCAGATTTCTGCACTGTCAAACCTGATATTCTGCCCCAAGAACCCTCAGTGTCCCTGTCTGTTGGCTGGGGTTCATTTAATTGCCCCAGTGCTCAAGTCTGCCTGTCTTCCTCCAAACAAATCACACGTGGTGGCTTGCCAGACATCCTCCCTTACACTCCTACCCAAATCTGACTAGAGATTCTGGCACAACTGGTCATTCAGCTGTTCCTCTCTTGATGTCCATTCTCAGGGACCAGCAGTGTTGAAATTACCTCTCCAAGCTGGGGGGGAAACAGGAGCATCTGGGAGAAAGTGATAATTCTGGAGGTAACCAGAGTGACTCTGAAGAGAGAGAGAGGAATAATGGAAATTACAGCACAGGCTTCTTCCTGCCCCTGTGCTGTGAGAAACTCGTCTCTCTGTGAAATGCAGAGGATGTGTTGGGATGTCTGAGATGGAGTCGTGTAACCTCCCCTTCCCCACTGCTGACAATGAGCAAACTTCTCCTTTCCGGATTCTTTGATACAAGTTCATTTAGTCCCATTTCATCCCCAAACCTGGAGGTGGTGATATTTCTGTGGTACTGTCAGGAGGTGCCTCAGGTGATTCCCATCACTCTGAATAAGAACCCAGGAAACACAGCTGTGCCGTGTGTTTGATAAATGCTACACTGCTTGGAACAGCTGGGACCAACATTTCTCCAGAAAAAGAAGTAAGCTGCTTTAAATCAGCCTGTGATTTCAGAAGGAAAGCTCTTATATTCACCACCATGAAGACCTGTAGATCTGATCTCAAATACATGCACTCAAATGCAACACTTGCAGATTACAGACCCAGGGTTAGAAGGTCCTCAGTGGTTGGAAACAGGGGAGCATCTAATGAGCATTTCCTTGATCATTAGAAAGAAGAGAAACTTTCCTTTCCCGTGCCTCAGGACTGTGCACCTGTTCTAACTAATACAGGCCACTGATTTTGAGCAGCCTGATGGAGCACTGGTGAGTAGTGTCCCGAGAATTCTTACCATCACAAGAAAAAAAGGCTGAATGGATATCCTCCTTTGGAATTACTCAATGTAATCTCACCTCCTGATGGGAAGATGCCTGAATTTGCTGTACATGACAGATGAAAGTCCCTCCTGTCCTTCTGATAATATTATGGGTTTGTGGATTCTTTTTCAGACACAGAAATCCTCATAAGAGGTAGCTGGAAAATGAAGCACTGGAACAATGGCAATGTAGTAGTTTTTCATCTAAACTTGTCTTTTTTTTTTTTTTTTTTAGTTTCACTCAGTGATTTCTTAACTGAAGGAATTCTGACTGTAATTCCATGGTTTGTGAATTCCTCCTGTGCAGCTCCAACAACAACCTTTTATTGCAGTACAAGTCAAAGAAAGATGCTGGACACTTCAGGGGGTGAGGTAAATAGAAGAAGTTTCTCTTAAGTGTTTCTTCTTTGGAGGGGCTAAACTTGCACAGGGAGTAACCCAGGTCTGTGCAGATAACACAACAATATTTTTATGCTGTACAGAGTCTGTAAACACATAAACATTTATCTGTGCAATTACCAGCAAACAGGGTCCAGAGGAGCTGACTTACATGTAGCAGGCAGAACATTTTCACCACTTTGCTGTGCTTCCTTGTTTACTTATTTATACTCAGAGAAAGGAAGTGGTGAGGCTGACTGGCTGCAGCTTATTCTGAGAAGAGACCATTTTGTGTCAGAGGAAGCAGCATCTCTCTCTCTCTGGGACGTCCCAGCGACGGAACCCCGAAGCTCAAAGAGCGGGGTCTTTGACAGAACCAGCCGGGCGAGGAACTCCTGGACAGGCTGGGAAGGGGTGACACGGCGGGGGAATCCATGGCTGTTTCACTGATAGCACTGCTATGAACACTCTGTGACCACCTGGAGGAGAAAAGCTCACCATGGACCTGCGGAACGTCCCCCACCGCTCGGATGTGGTCACCTGGAACGCCGATGACCTGGCAGCGTATTTTAGGACGGTGAGTTGAGCTGCGTTCTGTCTTCGTGTGGCATTGGAGGAAACTCCTGTTGGCGTTGTTTGTGCCAGGTTTAGGTCTTTTACAAGGGGCACAGCCTGCAGCAGCACCAAAAGCAAAAGCACTGTCAAAGAAGAAGCTGAGGCAAACTGGGCAGTGAAATCCATAAATGAAGCTTGAAAAGGATTTTTTAACTGGGTGTAAGAAAAACGGACGGCTTTACACTTTGCAGCTACTTTATTACTTGCTGGTGTAACATTAACAGCTGTGGAAGGCATTAAGGTGTGAAGATTACAAGTTTTCTGTGTCGCCATCAATGATTTTCTGGAGAGAGCTTTTTTTTTTTTTTTTTTTTCCCCCTCAAATTGCTCCATGTTACAAATGAACCTCAGTGTCTCTGCTAATCACATCCATGGCTGCACTTGTAAAACCTGGGACACTTCGGGCTTCCTTTTGAAATCAGGTGAAGTTTATGTTTTCAGCAGCTCCTGTAACTCTATAGAGAGGGTTTTATTTGGGGAGTTGAGGCAAGTTTGATACTAGAATGCACACCCAAAGCAGATCAAACACAGAGAAGTAAAACTACCAGCTACTTACAAACCCCTAATTTTAGCGGGCAGGGGTTGGTGGCACAGGAAAGTGAAACCAAAAACTGGAGATGGAACAGATGAGATCATTATCAACAGGTAACTTCAGACAAATACGAAAAACATTACAACTCTGGTGCAGTGTGAGGGGGTTATATCCCCATTTCCAAGAAATCAATAAGGGAAGTGGCTTCCTGAAAGAGCTGATCATGATATTCTGAACAGAGATAAAGGGATTAACTGTAAATTCTACCCTAAGTGAATGCATTCACGTTTATTCTTTAGTATCTGCCTTCTACTGATTGAGATACTCCCCAGGATGGAGAAAATCTTGGCATTCCACACTTGGAGAAGTGAATCAGGGCAAAGGCTGCTTTAAATCATTTAAAAAATCTATGTAAGACAATGCCAGCCTAATTCAGCCTAACTCACCTGTCATAAGTGACCAGATCTCCCCTGATAAACTCACACAATTTTCTTCACACATATCACTAACATTGCTCAAAGTCCAGGATTCAACTCCAAGAGGGAAAAGCATTTTTTTCTCCCTCTAAAATAAGCTAATTGCGGAATAATATTCAAAAGACAATCACCTTCCAATTTTCTATCACCTGAAGCGATTTGCTAATAACACAGGGTATAATTTTCATCAGTTCATTGTTGGCTTGCACCTTCACAGGAGCAAAATTCAGGCAGCACACACATCAGGAATTTATGGGACAATACTGTGATGTATCAGGGCATGAATAAAGTCCTCACTGTCTGTCAAATACAAATTCTTTACTCTTATCAATAATAACACCTAATTCACGATTCTAGGTGAGTTAACTTAAAGCCTGTGTTAAATCAAACCATGCATTCAAAAGAGGGAAGAACCAACAAACCCCAAAATTTTCAAATACTTTCCAAAGCACTTCATTTATTTGTTTGTTTGCTTGTTTATTTTAGAAAAAGCAAAAATGTTCATATTTGGAATATCCCAGTGGTTACTTTTAATAGCTAAACAGTATTTCCCATCAATTACTTTAAGAAGGAGGTTGTGTCTCAGTCACACTGGTGGGTTCTTCCAAGTGTTGCAGTTGCTCCCCCTGCACAGATTTGTGCTGGCAATGTCATGGTAGTGCTTATTGTACAAAAGAAATTGCTCACAGGTTTAAATCCTCAGCCTGCACAAAAGTCTTGATCTGTATCCTAAAATATTTAGCAGAGTTAGGCCTGTTTCTGCACATGAATAACTGGAGGTGGCTCTTAAAAAAAAACAAACAAACAAACAAACAAACCTAAGGCATCTACTGGAAGTGTTTAAAGCTACATGATCAACCTGTACCTGACCAGTTTCTAAAAGGCCTTTCTCCTAAATGTTACTGTGAAAAAACATTGTGGAAAAGCTTCCCAAATGTTATAAATAATTTCCAGGATTAACAAGTGGGATTTCCATCTGGAACTGGAGGCTTTTTGATCACAACAGTGAATTCTGTGGCTGGAATCAGGCCTTCAGTATTCCAGGTTTTTGCTGTACTTCCTGTTTTCTGCAACTGCTTATTCCCCTTCAGTAGCAAAATATCCATTTTCTGAATATTTCTTTGGGCCAGACAACTGTGAGGAATTGCATGTTCTCAAATGGATGAAAATCCTCAAGTCCACTGAAGAATCTCTGCCATAAAAATCCATGTTTGTGGAATCAAATGAGCCATTTATACTGGTCATAACACACAAAAAGGTAGCTGGAAGACTCTACTCAAAGCCAGCCATATATTAAAGTGTCTCAATTGATACTTACAATTAAGGGTGCAATAATCTTCTTCTTTTCATTGACAGTTAAAGTACAAGGACTGTGAGAAAGTCGTGAGAAAGCACAGCATAAATGGACAGAGGTTTCTGGTAAGTGGAGCTGTAAAATTCCTTCCTGTAAAATTCCAACCAAGTGACTGTTTTTGTCTCCTCTTTATTTTGCACTGAAAGATGCAGAGCCCTCATCTCCCAGGTGGTTACTGAGGTGGAAATTTGGGAAGTAAATGCCTTTGCTGAAATCAGCCAGACATCTTGCTTTACATATGGAAAGCTGGGAACCCAAGCCTGTTGGTCAATGTGCATATTTTTTTTTAGTATTTTTCAAACTGACAAGTTTGAAAACCATAACCTTGTATTTAAGCTGCCTCTTCCTTTATAGGAAGTTCTTGATTTCAGATATTAAATACAGAAGCCCCCCAGTTGTTACTTGTCCTCTCATACTAAAGAAGACAAAGCCCTGCTCAGAACGACTGGCCTTGCATTGTAATCACTCTTTCATTCCTCTGGAGATAAAATTAGATTTCTTCTGTAGCAATACACAAAATGAGTGAAGTTTGAGAGCACCAAAACCAGTAAGCAAAGGTTCAGAGGGTTTAAATCGACCCTGTTCCATTGTGAAACAATGTGTAATTAGAAACCTATCGTTGCCAGTAAAAAAGATGGACAGAACCAGACTATCCTCCATGCTCCAAAGAGAATTTGTGAAGCTTTTAATGAACTAAACAAAACACTGGATCAGCTAAATCCAGAGTTTTCACAAGGCCTGAATCTGCCCTGAAGGTGAAGCTGCTCATGCTGGAAGAAGAGAGGGGGTGACTCTGCAGGAGCATCAGTAAAGCTCTGGCACAGCATGTCCAGTCGGGAGTGATCTCAATCCCACTGCTGTGTGATGGTTCAAGGGGGAGGAAAACACTCTCCCCCTCCCCATCCCAGTTTCTAAAAAGATTTTTCTCAGGCTGCCAAGGCTCCTCTGAAGTCCAAGGAGTTTTCCAGCTACGTGTCCTCTAGGACGTGATTTCTGATGTTACAGGTCTTAGAACAAAACTCCAGCCAGTGGTTCTCTATCTTAAAATTTACAGTTTTACCCTGAAACTTTGGAATCATGCCCAAACTTGTCTGATTTCACTACACAGACATGAAGAGATTCAGTATATCTACTTCTGAAATCACTTAAATACCATATGAAGGGTAATTAATGTACTTTTATATGAAAACTTCTGTAAGTCTCAGGGTGTTCCACCAGCAATTTCATGATATATCCTGTGTTTCCTTTTCAGAACATGTCTGAGAACGACATTCAGAAATTTCCCAAACTCAGAGTGCCGTAAGTAAAGCCAAACCACTTCGTTATTAACATTTATTTTAGCTGGCTTGCAGAGAAAACTCGTAGGGAATATCAGGCAAATGATTTGCAAGTGATTGAGAAAAAGAGGAATATTCCAAAATACGAGGAGTGTTGTCATGACTGCTCAAGCATGATGATACCATACAAAAAGGCTGTCTGGGGGATGTTCAGAAGAACTTGTGCATAAATTCTTTTGACTGACAACAACTGCACAAAGGTTGAACTTTTTTTTGCAAGCTTTCCCTTTGAAGTGTGATTTAACTGTTCGCTGCTTAACTGTTGACTTTGACTCAAAGGGGAAAAAAAAACCAAGGCAGGCACGTCCAGAGGAGTTGAGGAGTTCAAAGGGTTTTCATGGTGTGGTTTTGTTTTAGGTCGGTGTTGAAGATAAATCAGTCTGGGCCATGTGATTCAGTGTTAAACAGCCCTCCTTGGCTCCACCAGGCCCCGAGGAAGTTCTGAGTAGCTGTCAGAATTTCGTGGAAGTAACTAAATGAAGAACAGTAAGCTCATTAAGCCAACACTCAGAAACAGAGAAATCAGCTACTTCTGATATTTTGTGGTGGAAAAACGAAGGGGGTTATTTAGCTGAGAGTTCTCTGCCATATATTTTAGCTGGAGGTTGGAAGGTTCCTGACCGTGAGACACCTGGAGCTCTTCGTGGTCTTCTAAAGAAAACAGGAGGTGAAAAAAAAAGGGAATTCAAGCTTTTCCAACATAGCTGTTTCTTTGTTGCTCATTTTTGATCAGACAGGCAAGGGCTTGAACTTGAAAGCCTCAAACACCACAAGTTTCTTAAAATCAGATCTATATTTTCACACGACAAATATCCCAGTAACAGGGATTGGTGGTGTGTGATGTGTTAGGAAGGGGGTCCGGATGTAATGAAAAAAAAAAAAGGATACCCTGATGTGTCACATTTTTTGAACTCACTATCAGTTAAAAGCAACATCTAACAATGCTGCTGATACTGAGAGACCAGATTGTCTGTGACAAACTCATCTTACCCTCCTGTGAAGGACATTGCTTATAATTCGCTGAGATTTTGTCCCTCCCTAACAGTCCTTTGGTAAAAAATTGCCTCGTGTTCTTATTGTTTGAGCTTATAATTTTGAGAACTTTTGGTGATTTCCTTTCAAAGTCCTGAGTCAAAAGAGGTCAGTGGGTGTTCTAATAAACCCACGCACACAAGAGATATTAATGCCATAGGTGAAGAGATAAAATGATATTCAAAATGAACAGCCTTTTCTGGTCAGTTTTTTTTTAGTTATTCAATGAGAACTCGAAAGAACAAGAGCTTTGAAAGAAGAGTGAAGCTTGGAGCACAGCTCGAGGAACTGAATAAATAAGTAAATCATTAAATCTGAATGAAAGTTCTGGAACTAAGCCCCCTGTTCTCAGATTTCTCCATGCTCACAAACAAGGAGAAAAATTCATTTGATTATTGTGAATATACATGCAAAAAGGTTGGTGTCATGTGGGGTCCTCCATATAAAGCCACTGTTTAAAACAAGACCTTGGAGATGTAATAGGGAAGACAACTGGTTCCCATAAAAAAAACCCCGAAACCAACAACAGTAACAACAACAACAACAATACCACCAATAAAAAAACAAACAAACAAACAAAAAAAACAATCCAAAAGGGAAAAAAAACCCCAAGCCACCAAAACCCAAACCAAAACCCCAGGATAAAATTCATGAGTAGAAGAACCTGCCACTTTTTTTAACCATTAATTTCATTACTTCAGAACCCCCCCATTCTCACCCAAACATTTGATTTCTACTAGAGCATAGTCACAGTCTTCTTTCCTTTCATAATACAAGCCTCAACTAGCAGGAGGAGTTTTCCTACAAGCTGAGAGAGCATTAGCATGTTGTAGTGACAGTGCCTGATATTTAACAGCGGTCCTGAAATTCGAGCATATCCTTAATTTAAATAGCAAATGTTACACTCCCAGTGCTGGGCAGTGAGGAGGTGAATAAAAGGTCCTTGTAGAAGAGGTTGTTGCTGTAAGTTTAGCGGGGTTTGACTGAGCTGCAGGGCTGAGAACAGAACCCAGCGCTGCAACCATGCAGGGTTGGCAAACCACAACCTCCATCTGCACAGACCTCCTGAGCTGGGGGATGGTTTTCATAGACAGAAGTGTCTGAGCAAACCTGCTGCTCAGGTCTTGAGCGGCACCTGAATAACTATTTGGGAATGATTCTGTGACTTTTAAGGAGACAAAGCAGCCAAGAGTTGTCATTACAAAGCATGATAGGTCATTTCCTGAAGCTCATTAAAAACCACCACAGGTCGTCTGTTATTACTAAGAGAATTATTATTTTGGAAGTTGATCTCCACCAGCCCTGCTGTGGGTGCACATCTTCATAAAAGTTTTGGCTTGTTTTTAAAAACAAAATGAAGCCAAAAAAAAATTATTTTGAAAATTAAAATACTTCTTAAAATGTTTGGAATTCTCCATTAAAAGGGCTGAACACCTGAAGCTTCACAAACATCACACTGTGTCCTGAAAGAGTGAGAGGGACACTGGTTTAACCAGGAAGGGATATGGCATATTTTACACAGAGCAGGCATTGAATATGTGCCCTAAGCTTTAAATGAAACTCAGACCTAATCAGGAGGGTCTTACAAACATTTTGTTAATAATTCTAATGAAACAAGAAGCCAATATACAGCTTAAGAGCTGTTTTGACTTGTGGGTAACAAATGTGAGTCTTCAAAAATATTTTAAAGCTCATTCAGAATTTATCACCAGCTAAACTCCTGACAGTGTCACTGTCTCACTGTGCAACTTCCTGGTCCTGAGAACTTTGTATTCCACCTCTCCTACCCATCTTAAATCCTTTATCCCAACACAGGTAGAGTGGACTCTACTCCTGACACCAGGATCTTGCAGTTAAGTGCACAAAAGCCCTTCTTGGAGGGCAGCTTTGAGGGCTGGCTGTGTGGGTTTCTTTAAACTTCAACTTCCTGCCAGTTTTAAGTTTAGCAACTGGTGGAGGAGGTAGAAAGAGAAAGAGAAGTCTGAGTAACATTTTCTGCAAGTGCTGTTGCTGCCTTATCCTCTCCCATCATCCAGTCCCACAGCTCGGAGAGCACTGTGGTTTTGGTACTTCCTTCCCCCCGTGGCAACACACTCAGTGCCCCAACCCCCTGTCATAATGATACTTGTGAAGTGTCACCCTCCTAAAATTCTCTTCCTCCTAATAACCCCTCTGAGCCCTTGCTTTGGAGAATTTCAGATAAACCTGAAGTTGTATCTTAAGCAGAAAAGGATTAATTTTTTAAAAGGAGCAAATTTTCTCTGTCGGTTTTTCCTCCAAAACCAGTTGGTGTAAATCCCCACAGCAGCCAGTCCAGGTTTAGTCCAGAAAGCTTCCAAAAACTCAGCCCTTATTTACACCCAGGGAAGTCTGAACTAAAAGAATGATTAGCTCTAAAAGCACTGATCTTCATTTTATTTCTTCTAAAAAACTCTAAATATTGTGAAAGATTGTTCCTTTACCTCTTCTACAATGCAGAATGAGCCACACTCAAGTTCCATCATCCCCTTCTTGAGCAGAGCAGGGGTGCAGACAGAGCACTGCTCACCCCAGAACATTTCCTGGTGTCTCACACAGAACTTATTACTCACACAGCAACTTCCTCATCCCCTGCAGACCAGACTTGGTTCCATGGGAAAGAAGAGCAAGAGGAGCCCTGTGCCTAAAACCTGGCCTTTTTCTTGCTTTTTACAATTTGCTTGGGTAACAATGTCAGGTTTAGACAGCTTTAATCCTTCTGAAATTATTAACATTTGCACTTGTGTGCAGTTCAAAAGGGGCAAGTAGGACAATATTGGCTTCAAATCAGAAAATTGCAAAGTACTGCCTTAAAGAAAACAACCCAAACTACATTATTCCTGCATATTTTCATACTTGGATCCTTCAGTACATATCCTCAACTTCTCATCCTCATCTTCCTCCTCTTCAGACCTGAAATGGCTTGGGTTTATTGGCTTGTTTTTAACCTTGCATTGTTTGAAAGCTTGTCTTCCTCCTGTCCCAGCCCAGAGGAGCAGTTAAACATGAAGGATGCACAGATTAGGTCATTTGGAAAAAAAACCCTAGGGGATTGTTATTGCTGAGTAGCAGAAAAAGTCATAAAAGGAGAAGAAAAACAAAATAAGAGTGGAAACTGCCTGGCCATAATCAAATATTTTATAATATTGATATCAAGTTCAACTGGCCCAATCTGAGATGCTGGGAAAGAATTCTGCTTTAAGAATGAAGTCAGGATTTTACAGAATTCAGAACCTGAGACAAACAGACATGTTTAAGTTCCTGATTTTTTTTTCATACTGTTTTTATTTCCACAGTTACTGTCTCTGACAGACCTAAATAATATTGTTAACCAGTTGTATGTAAACAATTTGCTTTGGTTGTCCCAGGACTGTCTTGGTCAGACATTCCTCAAACGAAGAAATAAGGAGAACTGAGAATCAGAGCGTGGCTCATCATAAGCTTTCTTAGAGGCAGAATAATTATAGAAGAAAACTTCTTCACTGTCCTCTCAGTGGAGATAATCCTGGAAATCTCAGTAAGGACTGACCTGTACCCTCAGAGTTGCTCTCAGGGACTCATTTAATACCAAAATTCCCAATCCTGGCTATCTGGGCTGGCTGTGGGTGCCCCTGGAGGGATCCTGGATTAAGTATAACTTGGTTGCAGGGGAAGGAACACAAAAAGCATAGAGAGGAGGCAGGGGGTATATTTAATCCCTGCTTTTGTAACCATAAGCTCTGTTTCCTGAAGTATTACTTGATTTTTCCACAAAAATCTGACAGATGCCGTGGCCATCAGTTCAAGCAGTGTTCTAGTGTTCGTAACACCCAAAAATTCTAAGGCTTGCCGGGTTTAAGGTTAATTTTTAAACATGACACAGCAACATGGGGGTTTACCTGGGTAAAAAAAGTCCAGTTTTCCATTGGATGTGCTGCAGGGCAACTTTGCAATAAGATGGTAAAGTCAGTGTTCTTACCACATAATAAACAATTTCGTTTTAATTTAGTAAATACTGGGGGAAAGCAGCTGAGAAAATGACTTGGCTGCTTTGACAAGTGACAGGTTTTGAGGAGTTTTTTTTTTAAAAACTGTTTTTGTGCTTCTTTTCAATAGAATCGTAAGTAAATTAAGTCAAGAAATAAACAAAAATGACGGGAGGCTCTCTTTCCTTCCAAAATGGTAAGTAAAACAATTCAGTTTTCTTTCTCAAAGCTTTCAAATAGATCTTTATTATATAAAATAAAGCTCTGTTTAGTTAATATATTTTCTTCTGTGAAGAAAAGCAAAACCTGAGCACCCCAGATATTTCTGCCCTGTCCAGAATGAGTAACATGCACACTTCATTCAGTTTTCCACCTGAGAAGATTAATCTTTAGGAAGCCTATGAAGTCCAGACACATAGTGCAATAATATAATCATATAAAAAATCATCATTAATGCATTTCACAGACTACACATCATTACAATTTTTAATTCTTAATGACTTGTCATTGAATAGAATATTCCTGCAATAGAAAAGGAACAAAAATTGCAAGAACATTGCATGAGAAAAGAACAATTTGTGTTCCTACACCATGAAAACCCAAGTCCAGTCTATATAACAGAGTTTTACATCATCTGATCACGTGAATTTACACCTTTCCATTAACTGGAGTCCAAAACTAGAATTGAAAACCATAAAAATATTTCTCGGTTTTACAAATATTTGTGAACTTGATTTTCAACCCCTTGATCTGAATTAGTAAAGAAAGCTTCTATTTTCAGGACTAGGCCCCTGAAAAATGTATTTGCTGAGTCTCTTTGCTTCAAAGCACTCGGCCTCTGGCTTGAATTCTTTTCCAGACAGTTTATTTACATCAGGTTCCTGTATGTGAAATATGAAATAACGTGGGTTTGGCATTTTGAACAGAGTTAAACTCATCTGGATAAGCTTCATTCTACTGTTATAGCTAAGTATTATAACAATAAAAGCATCAAACTTTTGAGAATTGCAAATAGGAGGAATTTATTTTTTTTTGTGTGTCTTTGTTGTAGGGCCCAAACACAAAAAAGTCCTGAAAACCCAGGTAAGTGTGTGCTGGCAGAGACCCTCCTAACAACAAAAAGTGTTATAAAATATTAACCAAAAAGTTTTTAAAATATTAAATTAATACTTTCAGGGCAGAGTCAATTGAGGGCAGTGGGGATGGGAACCAAAAATCCAAACCAACAAATGGAAATATGAGAGCACAGAGGAGTTTCATAAAAGCGTAAGGAGTAGATACAGCAGAACAAGCAAGAAAAAATGGTTTTAAAAAAGAAAAGGTGGTGAAGACCAATGAACCATCTCATCCAAGGGGGGCTTTGCTCTCGGTTTTCAATCCTTGTGTTATTCCCAGCACCCTCCATGACTGCTGGGCTGCCCCTGGAGCTCCAGCTCGCTCTTGTGACCTTGCTCTGAGGTTCAGAACCCACCTGGGCTTGGTTGTGTCCTTGTTTTCTGTCGGGTTGTTGAGTCTTTCCCAAAGCTGTGCTCGCTCAGGGGTCTGTGGTTCTGCTTCTTTCACAGGGTACGCTCAGGATGACGGGGGCTGGTCTTCCTTTGTGAGTATTGGACCCAACAGAAATCCCCCCTGGTTCGATGCCCTGCCTGCTCAGAACCCCACCTGAATTTTGTTTACCTATTTCAAGCTCTTCGAAGCGGTGGCCAGTAAATGAAACACATGTTGCTGCCTTTTTTCGGTGGCAAATTCTTGCCATTTTATTCTTGAGGGTGGATTTGCTGATGAATCATTTGTTTTAGTCCAAGTAGCCTGCAGAAGTTCCTTTTGCCTTTTGGCATTTTAGGAAACATCATTACACCTCAGCTGCTGATGCACAGGCTGGGTTCATGGAGATCTCTAAAGTTAACCAGTGCTAAATTTTAGAAAAAAATAAAATGGAGAGGCATTTAAAAAACCCAATAAAACAGTTGTTACTAAGTCCACAGGAGATTTGCTGCTATTTTAGGAGCGCAGAAGGTAAAAGTAACCACTTCTTACAGAGCACTTGGGCTCTGTGCCAATACAGAGGGCTCTGGAAATTTCAGCCCAGACACCAGTGGAGTGTTTTTTTAGGTGCACTGACCACACTGACACAGTGATCTCACGAGGTCCTGCAAGCCCCACCTGGCTGGTTTGGGTCTGGTCGGTGGAGGACACCAAGACCCAAAATCTAAGACGTCATTTTCCCCAAAAGCATTTGTAAAAGTTGGGTTGCAGGATGCAGAATATGTGTTAGTAGGCAAGAATGGATATCAGCAGGCATCAGCTGCTGCTCCAGTGTGGCTCTGGGAGCACTGGATCATTTGCTGGTGCTTTGTCTGTCCCCAGACAAACGCCCTGTGCTCTTCAGTGAGCTCTCACCTTATCCTGACCCTCCTCTGCACTGGTGTAAAGTGATACTTGTTTCCTTTCTGAAGCTGTTCGGTGCTCCCTCCATCAATCTCAGTGTTGCCTCCTTTCCCCATTTTAATTCAATGGGATTTTTTTTTCACTCAAACTGGTTGTAAAACCTTGAGATCCTCCAGAGGCAAAAACACCGCAGGGAAAGGCCACAAGGAACCTGCCCTGAAGTGTTTAGGGCTCTGTTACAGCACCCACTTTTTATGCTTGTTTGCCAGGATGATGATGATGATGATGATGACTACGAAAGCCCTGATGAAGACCAGGAGAAGGAAGATGAGGCTGACTATGAATCCCCCACAGAAGAACCTGGGGAAGCAGAACATGACAGTGATGGCTACGAGCCCCCTCCATCCATCAACGATGAAGCCCATCACAATGTCATATTTCCTGCCAAGTCACTTCCAAGCAACACAGATTATATAGGTAATTACTGAAAACAAAGTGTCTTTAATGATTTGTAAATTCTGTTTCCACACATTGCCAGCCACATTTTAGGTGGCTGGCCATGGGATGCAGAAGGTTTGGTGGAAGGTGCAAACCTGCCTTTCAGACTGGCTGGTGTTTCACAGTCACTGAACTGCAGGGCATGACAATAAATATTGATTTATTCAGTAAATAGGACTCCTCCTGGCAGAGGAGTCACCAGCACAGGGACAGATGGGCCTGTAAGTCCCCACACAGATCATAAAATAGCTGCCAATGACATCCTACAGCAGTGTCTTCAGATACATTGAACATCCAGGTTCTTGCAAGGGTTCTTTGCCCTAAAGATCTAATGAGTATTAAATAACCAAACTCTGTGTCGTTGCTTAGTTTGGGATTTTTGTTTTCTTTAGACAGACCTTCAACAACCAGATCATCACATCAGCCTCCAGTGCCACCCCAGAGACCTGGCCCAGCCCCAGGACCAGCCCCATTTGGGGCAAGAGGTGCTTCTGTATGTTCCTTTCTAAAATGTTTTACCTATTTCCCATGCCAGTAACTTCTTCAAAGTCCAAGTGGAACGACATTTTTAATCAGCCATCAAAACAGATTTGAACTCTGTTCCAGGGTGACCATTTTTTCAAGCAATTAAATTTCATGGGACAAATATATTCCATTACTTGGATAGTACATTATATTACTTGGGTGTTTCCTACACTGGAAATTTATACCTACATGTGAATGCCTCTGACATAAAAATTACATATTTGTAAGAGATGCCTCTCTGTTTCTTTAGTGACATTTGTAAAATTAAAAAAAGGTTAATTCTTTCCAAGCTATTCATGGAGCAGTTGTGCAATTGAATTAAGAACAGATAAAAGTGTGAGGGACTGTATAATGAGAACTGGGATGACCCAGATTTTTTTCCTTTTATTTTTTTTTTTTTTGTCTGCTGTGAATCTTTCAAAACTCAAAGCTCTTATGCTGTTGACAACTGGCACTATAATAGGCTCAGTGCTTGCCAGGACAGATGTACATTAGACCCACCATGTACACAGGGTAATTCTAGGATGTGATAGAAGGATTTTTGGTCTGACCCAGTGACAGAGTTCATCTGTAGGAAACACAGAGGACTGTTGGGTGTCACGAGCTCTCAAAAGTGCTGTCCTAAAATCTAAGGAGCACGTATTTCTCCTCTCCAAATGTACATCCACTCATTTCAGTGCATTTACAAACCCAGCACCTGCTGTGCTGAAGGGGCAAACCCACAGCAGTGGGGTTGAAGCTCCTGTTTCTTTCCTTCGGCAATTCACACAATTCTGCCCCAAAAATACATCCCACCGGTGTATTCCTTGTGAGGCAAAACAGATGGAAGCAATTCTGCCGCCCAACAAGAAGCCAAGCAGGTGGGGCATTCCTCAGGAGAGCCCGTGGCTCCCGTTCTTCCCGCAGTGAGGTGGGATCAGCTGTGCTGCACAGACACCGGCACTGGCAGATGTGTGTGCTGGGGTTAATGCACTGCAGCTACACCTGAGAGGGGAGGACACATTTTAACCACCTGTGAAATCCCTGTTTCAGCTGCCAGCTTTCCCTCCTCCACCGAGCCACAACGACCTGGGGAGAGACAGGAACATGAAGCCTTTGAAACGTAAGCAGAGCTGGTGCTGTCCCTGCAAAGCTTTTCCCGTGGGCTGTGGGGCACTTCACTCCTGCCTCCATCTCCTCACTTCCACTCTCTTCTGCTCTCACACAGAAATCTCACTTGTCATTCTAAGCCACACCAGCTCGTGGCTGTGCAAATTAAAGGTATATTAACCTGCCCCAGCACATTATCTCACACTGCTGTTGTGTTTAGCCCCAGCTCCTTCTGTTGACAGAAGCACCAAGCCCTCCCTGGACCGCCTGGCCCCCCCTTTCGAAAGAGAGAGCCCAGTAGCAGGTCAGTATTTGCTGCACTAATATCAATGTGCTTGTTTTAATTATTGAAAATTATCACTCTGAATATAAGTGATGCTAAAGAACAAGGCTTGACCAGATGTACTCCGGTCCAGTCCTAGACAAGGTAATCTGTTTATGAACAGATAGTGTGAGCAGAACTTGTAAAGTGAGGGAGAAATTGTGTTTAGAGAACAGCAACCCAAGGGCAGGCAGGTGAACAGAAAGACTTTGTGAGATCCCTGTGCAATAAAGGTTTGGAGTGACACTGAAGTGAATGAACAAGGAGATATTTAGTAGGTGAAAAGAGAAATAGGGAGCTAGCTCTGCTGTGTGTAATGTGGCAACAGACTTGAAAAGATGCTGAGAACTGGTAAGACATAGAAGAAAAAGCACATTTGTTTCAGACCTGAAAACCACATTATACAAAGAATCTAAAGATATGGCTCTATGATTTTTATTTATTATCTGAACTCTTTCGTCTGGTATATGATGGCAGATAAGTATCCAGCAACTCAAAGCTGAACCATAGAAAATATGATTGTAAAACATGCCACCTTGAAAATGGTTAAATTGGCCTTTAAAAAGAGATTTTGCAATTTTTCCATCACTCTCAAAGCCAGAACACTTTTCTGCTTTATGTCTCAGGAGGCTGAGGGCTTCATTTTGCAAAATTAACTTCCAGTTATGTTCAAAACTCTCTGGTTTCACAAAAGCTTAATTAATTAACTTTCATTGTTTTCTAAATACAAGCTTTTACTATTTTCAGGGAGGAAGCCAAATATTCCTGAAAAGGTAAGATATTTTTTTTTTGTGCTTATAGAAGTTTTTTGCCTATTCTGATACACTTACACACTCAACTTCTCCTTGTTGCTTTCCAGCCTCTGGTTTCACAGCTAAGGTAAGAGTTTTTCCTCTTGAAATGATCCTCCCAGTGCCAGTTGTTTCTTAAAAAGCTGCTTTTTGCCTTTATTTCATCATCTTGCTCTTGCTTTAGGTCCCTGGGGGAACAGCTGGCGATGATGCCCAAACCTCCTGTCCCACCAGGTGACAGATATGAAAGAGGCAACTCCCTTCCCTTAAGGAAGCAAAGCCCTGGAAAGTAAGTGCTCATTTCACTGCAGTTTAATGCAGGATAAATTAAATTTAACAAAGATGTGGATGAGCAGCTCTGGTTCTCGCTCTGGGGAACGTCACTTAACGAGTTCTGTGCTGGGTTTTTTAGGGTGTTGGAAAGGGAAAGCTTTACTTCCCTCCCACTGACTTTATCAGCCTGCAAACCTCCTTGGGAATAGCCAGTGCCATTCCCCAGCATTCTCGAGATAAACTAGGGGCTGAACACTGTGCCTGAGCTTAAAACAAGTTAAGAAAGTAATTGAGGTCTGTTAATCAGCCAGAATAATTTATCAGAGAAACAAAGATAAAAAAGAGGCCATTTATCAGAGGAACAAAGCCTGGAAGTTTTATGACGAGCTCCATCAATGTTGCCAGGTATTATGAGTGAGTTCAAGACTTGAAGATTAATGTTTCATCACTGTAAAAACTTGTTTTAAGCTCTAATCTCGTAATCAACACAGGAATTTTCCTCACTGATAGACTCAAGCTGGGCTAAGGACAAGTGTAGCAGCTTGGATTAGGGCTGCAAGCAGAATTTTAGATATTTTTATGAGAATAAAAAAAAAGGTTTGGCATTCGCTGGGCCTTTCAAACTTACTATAAATTCATATTCTAGTTGAAAATATGGCCTGCTGCACGTGAATGAGTGAATGAGTGAATGAATGGGTAGTGTTCCACATGTGATGAGTGTTTGTTTTCTTTTCAGGCAGAGTTGGCCACCACACAAAAAAAATGAAGTGAGTACAGTCTCAAAGCAATTATTTAAAACCATAGGAACTACAATAAAATCAAGTACCTGTATTAACCAATAATTCTGGACAAGGTAAACTTGTTTCTTTTATCAGCTGTAAAGAACAGTCCTGGCTCTTTCATAGCACAGAGAGTGTTTTTTTAAGCAGTTCTGTGTCAAGCTCATATTCCCTGAGTGTTTTATCTTAGATAAAGGAAGAATAAAACCAGATTTTTTTTTTTTTTTTATGACAAGGGAGAAGTGATTTTGCTTACACTAAGTCTGTGGCTTTGGGGGATTTTTTTTTCAGCTTAAGCTGACCTGAAAGTTTCATTCTCAGATAACTCTGAGAGCCTACACTTGGAGGAATGAGAGAAGTTTGTATCTGCTGAGAGTTTTTGAGTGCTTTGGGTCAAGAGCCATGATGGGACATCCACCACATTTTTTATTTGTAAACAACTAATTAATTAATGCAAGACCTTTAACAATTATTTGGTGTTGCAAGTATTACAGTCCTTGTATAACCAAAATCCACCAACATCCAGGTTTTGGTTTTGTGAAATATTATTAAGAACTGTGCTATAATATGTTACTAATGTTTATTTTCTTTTGGCTCCCCAGGAAGAAGAAGACAGTAAGTATTTCTACAATGATTTTTCTGGCTTAAGGTCTTTCTTGCCTTAGTTCTATTTAAAAAAAAACCAAAAAACAAGCAAATTATCTCAGAGTTGTTTCTTTATAGGCATTTCAAAAGTCAGGTGGTATCTGGTGCCACTCTCTAATGTTATTCACTTTAGTGAGCAGAAGCAGCACTTCTGTCACGTAACAACAGTATTTATAATGCTAAATTCTACAGTTAAGTGTAGGGCAAAGTGACTCCATAAGAGCAGCAGCAGATTTGACCCAGTCTGTGTGAATTATCACAGAATTATCAGCCACTGTAAGAAATCTAAGCTGTGCAGAGCACAGCTGCCTGTTCCCCTCTTACTGGAAGGTCAGGTCTGAGGCCACTGCAGAGAGAAAATGTTTTATTTCACTCTGGCAGGAATGCTGTTCAAAAGGTGACTCAAATCTGCTCTTTAGAAGTTGGGCACCAGAGAGCACTTGGTTATTCACCACCCTCAGCTCTGCTGCAGGGAGGACACCTCAGCTGTGGCTCAGCCAAAACAGGAGTTAGGGAATGTAAAAGTGTTGCTCAAGCCTGTGCTGGTTTATTTTTTATTTTATACTCCATTTTAAGCCCATTTTGACCATCTGAATTTACAACCTGTAACTAAAACATCACAGACTGTTTACAGACTGCTTTGCCCCATGATGTTTATCTGGTTAAACAGCAGTGATGTGACAGGATTTGTTTGTTTTAGGGTGTCTCCCATCATATTTCAGCTTCCTTCTCTCCCCCTGCACAGCTGCCCCCCACAGACCGGTGCCCCAGCCGTGCCTGCCCCCCTACAGCTCCAGCTCCCTCCCAGCCAAACCCCTCAAGCTTCCACCTAAGCCAGGATCCACCAGCCTGCCTGGGGCAGAAAGGTTTGTCTCACTGTTGTTTTGTTATTCCTCTTGGATCTCCATCCTTGGCAATCCAGCAAATAACAGAGTGTGTGGAAATGCATGGATCTCAGGCACCCGAGGATCCCATGGAAACAACTAGCTCCTTACTTGGGCTGTATCCAGTAAAATAGCCCAAAATCGCACTGAAGTCCCCCAAAATAGACCCAAGTCCATGCAGAATCACACCCAAAATATCCCACAATATCCCAAAACATTCCTGAATTCCACAAATCCATCAAAAGCAACCAAAATCAACAAATAGACGAACAAAACCCATCTAAATCACATCTGCACAAAATTGTCCCCAAAATATCTCCAAATTCTCCTAAATTCTATCAAAATCCCAGTCGTCTGGAATTGAATCAGAAGAAATTTCATCACCCTTTTAATAAGTATTACTCTAATGGCTGATAATTCCCATTTAAAATTGTGAACCTGGCTTCAAGTTTTTTCCTGTTTCCAGCTTGCAAAGATTTGATTGCTGTGCCTTCATTGGCTGGGTGGAGGAGCCCTTAATTAAATTCTGATTCCTGATAATCTGAATTCTGGTAATCCTAGAGTTGCTGAGTTAGACCGGGCTCCTTGTGTGTTTTTTTAATGGCTCTTTGATGAATTCCTCCAATTTACCATCACCCTCTGGAACTGCTGCCGCCCCAGCAGAACAAATATTGCAGTAGCAATAGCAAGGTCATATGCAAATGGAACTGTTCCTGTGATGAACGCTGGTGCTTGTATTCAAACAACGTGCCAAAAATTGCTGCAGTGGAGGCCCCCCCTTTGACAGCTTCTCTCCCATGAATCAAGCCACGATGGGGTGTTTTTGTTCTGCAGAAATAATTAGCATTTTCATCTCAGAGCCTTTTCAACAACCCATTGAAGCAGAAGAGGAACACGAACTGTAAAGGACTAAGAGTGCAGGCTGTTTGTTCCCAGTTAGGTGAAGAAACGAAAATAACAGCAAAAATTGAAGATCAGGGCTCTGTTTTGAGAAGTTTTGGGTGTGGGTTGAGGTTGGCAGGGAACTCTGGATGTCATCTGGTCCAAAGCCCCCACCCAAGCAAGGTCACCTTGACCAGGCTGCCACATCCAGGCAGCATTTGAGTGTCTCCAAGACCAGACACTCCTCAGCTTTCTTGGCAATCTGCTCCAGTGCTTGGTGCTTGGTTGTCCTCACAATGAAGTGTTTCCTGTTCAGAGGGAGCCTCTGGAGTTTCAGTTTGTGCCCATGGCCTCTGTCTCATCACTGGGCACTGCTGAACAGACCTGGCTCTGCTTTCAGATATCTATGAGCATTATTAATTTACCTCCCAAACCTTCTCTTTTCCAGGCTGAACAGCCCAAACTCCCTCAGCCTTTCCCCATATGTGGGATGCTCCAGTCCTTTCTGCTGCTGGCCCTTCCCAGCCTGCACCATTAACGAGAAATGGCATTTTCATCAACAGTATTGATGAATAGTTTCAGAGAAGCCACCAAAAAAAAAAAAAATTTTGACTCTCTTGAGTGGAATCCCATGGAAACAAACATCTAGCAAAGTGTTCCCTGTGCTTCCTGCTTTAGGGGAATAAAGGAGTCATTCCCTGAGAAAAATCAACAGGCTGCAGTGCTTTTCTGCACTGATCCTGATCCAAAATTATTGGTGATCATTACTGATTCCCTCTACCTTATTTCCAGATCTGAGCTCCAGGTAAACTTAAAGGTGGATCCACTTACCCAGAGAAGATTAAAAAACCTAAAAAGAGGAAAACTTCCCTCATCCTGCATGGGTCATTCTATAAAACAGGCACAAAGTCCCAGTCAGCTGTTCAGAACACAGAAATGCTGCATAGAAATGTACTTGTACTGATTGTTTTTGTTTTTTAAACAGTGCTAGAAACCTGTCTTCAACTGGCTCACTACCACCTCGCTTACATCTAGGTCTGTATCCTGCATTCCTCCTTTTCTTTTTGGTAAAAACATGACTGAAAGTTGAAAGGTGGTTTCAGTGGTTTCAGTGCAGTTAATATATAATATTTTTTTCCTGTGGATGTTTCTGGTTCAGCTGTGAACAGAAAACTACCGAGTTCCTGAAAGGCATTTTGTGCAACTTGCTTGGTGTTTTGGGTTTTTTTTCCATGAAGTTTGGGCTCCCTGCCTGGTTAAACCAGTGTCACAGTTTGATATAACCACCTTTTTCAGTCCAGCAAGCAGCACTGAGAGCTGAGGTGTGCTAATACTCTCAGAAAAGTGTTTTCCATGTGAAAACACTGCTTATTTGTCTTGTAAAAGCAAGTAAAAAATAAAGAAAACACAGAAACAGATTGTTCTGCAGGTAGTTTTTCACTTATGGTAACAGCTACCAATGTCCTACAGTGACATTTTTTACTTTCTAATCACTAAGAAGGCAAGGATTGCAAAGAGGCAATGTTGCTTCTGTCTCTAAAGAAAACCAAGATGCTCTCAACTGAGTGACTGTGGTATGGAAACTAAAAAGGTGTCACCTCTATTTCAAGTTCATCTGATCTTATGGAAGTGCAAGAGTTCATAGAAGGGGTGCACCAGGGGTGACATTAGGCAGAGAAGGTGGTGCTGATAGAGGAGCCTGAATGTGATTTCAAATCAGTCCCAAACACTTCATGCCTCGTAAAACCGAGACCCTGCACCCCGGATACACAGATGAAATTATTGCCCTGGCTTTAATGTTCTTTTCTACTTTTATATCTTTGAAGGCAACAACAGCAGATCCCCCTCCAGAGGCGCAGCTGATGTGAGACCTCCCCTGCCAATCCCCAGCAGACAGACTGTTCACCAAACAAACCCGGAGGAAAATGAGGTACAAAGCGTTACAGACACAGAAAAATACTTGTTTGCCTTCAACTGATATTACATATTCAGTTCTCCTTCCACAAAAGTTTGATGAGTAGAGAACTCAGCTTTGTAAGTGCATTTTTGCTTCGCGTTCCTTCAAATGGAACAAGCTGAGAACAAACTGCTGGTGGTAACACTGCTGGGCAACCACTCATGATGTATTCACAGGAGGTCTGCAGGATGGACTCAGATGATAGTTCAAAAATAATAATAATAAAAAAATTTAAAAATAAACAAACAATCAAAAAAGGACAAAGGGTGCCAGTTCCAGGTGGACAAAAGAGAAAATACCATTTAAAATATGGTACTGAAAATATTTGGAAATACCTGTTTATTTGGCTTAACTGCAGGTGTATTATAGTTAGCTCTGCAGTATTTTCAAATTTATCAAAGTGAGCAATAATTTAAAATCCTCCAGTGCCACTTCACCGGACTGTAAGAAATACCCTGAAACTCGAACCTTCAGGGATTCTGCACATAAAAATATCCCTCACACTGAAATTTCTCTCTACCTCCCTGTGTGTTGCTCAAATTACGGACTCATTCACTGACAGGTGACTTTCTCTTTTCTCCTCTCCCCCAAACCATCCTTTAGGGCTCCCTGAACAACGAGTGGTACGTGGCTTTCGTCAGCCGGCCCGAGGCAGAGGCAGCTCTTCGGAAAATCAACAAGGTGCTCTGGGAATGGCAGGGGATCCTCCCACCCCCCCCACTGGGTGTCCTTGTGCTCCCAAGGTTGCAGCACCAGTGTAGGTGCTCAGGGTGAAGGGTTTATCTTGACTCTTTCCCCACAGAGAAGTTTCACGCCCGGTCCAAGCCACCCACAAAGGTTGTTGTTTGCCACCATCCAAGAGAACAAATTACGTGTCTCTGGAAAGCAGTTTGACCTTGCCTGTCTTAGGAGGAGTGACTTGTTCTCTGGAAATAGTTTTCTGTCATCAGTGAGGAGTTTGTCGCAAATTCCAATTTTTAGGCAGCTTGAATTATAAGATCCCACCCTTTTCTAGGCCATGCTGACCAGCAAAATGAGCCACAGATACAGACAGATGGAACCCAGGCTTATCTGTGCATGTGGAGATAAAATAAAATTATAAATGTCAATGAAATAATCGCTGGGGGAGATGTGGTTACTCCACAGCACTTGCCACGAGCTGAGGGTGACATGTACAACATTCCAATCACTTGGAGTAAGGCCCAACTTATGGGATCACAATCCCTTAAGAAAGGGATTTCAATGGAAGACTTGTCAAGCCAGATCTGAAATGAAGAAAAGCAGAGTGGTACACTATCACAGCCTTTACCTAAATTACACAGCCACTATCATTATTGTAGGCTCTCTGTAAATGCATCCCATAGGAACCTTGACTGGCACTTGGCAGAAATGAACTTCTTTTCTGGTTAATGGGATGCCAGGTTTGGCCTTTGATATTTTACTTCCTCCTTTAATGGAATCTCTCCCTCGTAGAACATCCCTCCTTCCTTCCCTAGAAATCTGCTTTTGTAACACACTGGAAGTTTTAAGCAGCAAACTTGCAAGACAACACATTTGATGAATGATTTAAACTCTCTCACAGTGCAGTTTCTCTTAGCAGAGGGAAAAAGATTTCAGAAAGAAAAACCACTTAGAAGGAGTGCTCTAGTTAAGGTTGTTATACTGATCAAACGGGGGAGTGACTCCTGTTTGTCACCTGTCATTTTTTCGTCTTTCAGGATGGAACATTCCTGGTGAGAGACAGCTCCAGGAAAACTGTCACTCATCCGTATGTCCTGATGGTGCTATACAGGGACAAAGTGTACAACATCCAGATCCGTTACCAGGAGCAGGAGCACCTGTATCTGTTAGGAACTGGCTTAAAAGGAAAAGAGGTACCATTAGTGTTTTCACACTAATTCTTTTCATTGTGAGGGATCTCCTCTTTCATTCCTAACTGTCAGGTTTTCCTGGGCTGGAATTCTGCTTTTGGTCTCAGAGTTATTCCTGGTAGAATATTGTTATTGCTGGAAGTCAAATCAGACTCTCCTGTTTGCACTCAGGGAATGAAGGGATAGCTTAGAATACCATTAGAAATCCATACACCCGGTCAGGGAATGTTTATTTACCACTAATATACCAGATAAGGGAAATAAATACAGAGCTGAGAGCAAATCCATACCTACCAACTTTACTTTGCTCCCTGACTGGTGGCTCAGCTGCACCAGCAGCTCTGTGTGGGTTTCCTGGCACAGGCAAGCCCAGTGAGCCTCACACTGCAGTTCTGATGGAGCCCAAACCCTCTGAATTTATCAATCAGCTCTCTAAACTTCCAAGTACAGTCATCACATTGAGCAGAATGATGACATCATGTATTAGACAAACTGCACAAATTAACTGTAGCTTGTAGACATAGTTACTGAGCCACAGATGATGGCAGGAACGAGAACAGTTGATCTGACAGTATTTACTGGACCTAATGTATTTTTTGTAAGGTTGCTAAATATTTAGAGGTTTAAAAAACCCCTGTTGGTTGTACTGATTACTAATAATTCTGACATTTCTGCCGTAGCCTTCTCATTTTCTTCCATCCCACAGGATTTTTCTTCTGTGGCAGATATCATTGACCATTTCCAAAGGACACCCCTTCTTCTGATTGATGGAAAAGACAGAGGTTCCAGAAACCAGTGCATGTTAAAATATGCTGCAGGACATATTTAAATGAGACCTTAATGAAGATCACACATCGTATTGAAGCCTAGTGAAGTTTGTAAACTTGAAGATACTTCTTTTTTTCAGCAGACTAAAATCATGAAGTCATTAAAAATCATTTCATTTCAAGGAAAAAGGATTATGTTATTTTTTAGTTATGCCTTAAATGCAGTATGCTTTAAATATGATTTTCCTACAATATGTTTGTTACTGTCCACTGATCATACAGTACATGAGAATTTTTTATTTTCCAAGATGTGGATGAAATTATTTCTCAGTTCTATAATACAAGTTGTACCTGATAACCTTTGAAGCACGAAGAGTTTTCCCCTCAGCTTTGTTAAGTGGGATTTATCCAACTCCTTGCCTCGGTTTTCTAATAACTTTTGTGTTGTGGCAAACCTTGGTTTGATTTGGTAGATTTGTCACGTGTTTTTTCCTTTAAAGCCATTTGTTCCTGTGTCACTTGAAACACAAGAACCGAAATTCAAGGGAGACAAATGCCTCCCATGCAAGCTGTCGAGCTTCTGAGACATAATAATCAGATTTCATGAACAGTTTAAATAGATATGTTTTGTAAATGTTGACTGCCTTTCTAAACTATTTAGTGTTCAAAGTTAGCAAATTTCATCTCCATGGAGCTGTGGGTCCAAAAATAAAGAAGAGAAAATAAAATTTTACAAGTTCTTCAGCTGAGAAAAGCTGTTTCTAGCCCAATATTTTTTAATCTGGTGAAAGGAAAATCAGTTCTAATCTATGTTTTTTAAAAAATGCGAAAATTGAGAACAACATCCCCCATATTACCACTGACTGTGAGTTGGAGGCTGTAATTTTATTCCACTGCAATGCCTTGAAAAATGTGACTCAAGCAACTCCGAAGTACCTGCCAAGGAACTCTGTTTTATTCACTTTAAATCATCTCACTAGTGCAAGAGAAATGAGATGTAAAACAGCACAACAAATTCTAACACTGCACATTTTTTCCACTAGAATAAATTACAGTTTTATTATTCAGATAAATATATTTGGTAAAAGAAAGGAAAAAAAAAACACAACACACCAAAAGTTCAAACACTTGTCCACAAATAAAGGATGATTGAATATTAATTGGAATGAACTACATGAAAAGAGTGGCTGCTCAAATTTTGGTCCCAGAAGATTTCAGGGTGGAGTATTTAGGCCCTTTTTTTGTGCATTAGGGAGTCACTGCAGAAACTAAAACCAAAAGTACTTTTGGTTTTCCAGTAATCTGCTCTCTGGCACCATTTTTAGAACCAGGAAGGCAGCTCAGATGACAAGTTGCAGTTCCTCTTTCACCGACTTACTTCTTATCCCATTTTCCTGAGCCCCAACTGAAACAAAAGAGGAATGACTTGACTTGAAGTGATTTCAAATCTTTGGTGCTGGTCCAACGTGTCTTTGTTTAAAAGGGGACAACCACGTGGGAAAAACGTCACGCCTGGTTTCCTGACCTTTCTAATTTATTGCATCAGTCCTTCCAGCCCTGGTGGGCTTGATTTGGGCAACGTGGGCTAAAAAAAAACCCTCAAAATCTCAGTAACCTGTTTATGGCTTTTTCTACTCCACATTTCCTGTTTAAAATAAAAACAGTCTGACTGCAGGAAACCCTGCTATCATTGGACAGTTCAAAGTTCAGTTTTTTGAGGGAAGAAGAAGAAAAGAACTAGGAGGAAGAGGAGAAGGAGAAGAGAAATAAGAGGAAGAGGAGGAAGAAATGAAGAAAAAGAAAAAAGAAAAAGGAAGAAGAAAAAGGAAAAAGGAAAAGAAGAAGAAGAAAAAGAAGAAAAAAGTAAAAGAAAAAGGGAAAGGAAAAGAAAAAGAAAAAAAGGAAGAAGAAAAAGAAGATGAAAAAGAAGAAGAAAAGGCAAAAAAGAAAAAAGAAAAGAAGAAAAAAGGAAAACAAAAAGAGAAAGAAACTTCAGGAGTATTAATAGAAGGCAACACAAAAAAAATGGATGTTTAATCTATCAAACTCCACGTCTTTTCTTCAGCTTCTCTTAAGTCTTTGGCCTTTATTGGATGGTTGAAATTCAGAATAAGGTCGCAAAGCAGGAGGTGGCTTTCCACTGAAAGACAAAGGGCAGCTGATCAGAGAGGTGTTCACTGAGTGGCAGATGCTCAGTGAGGGGCATCTACACACAGCACTTTTGGAAGTGTTCATCTGTCAAATTCACAGATTTCAAGGCTTGCCTTGTTTTGTTTACTTCAAGACACTTAAATTTAATTCAGTAATATTTGTATTAGAAAACTACCAGTGTCTCTGCAAAGGAATTACTTCTGACTACTCAACTCACTTGACTCTATTGCTACAAGTGACTAATAGTTAATTAATTGGCGATTTATTGCTACATGTAACTATTCTGTAGTTTGTAAAACCACCAGCAAATCTATTGTTTCATTCCACGAAAACACAGTTGCATCACAAAGAAAACGAGCCCTTCACAACCCTCAGAATGCCTCAAACACCTTCTTGAGTAACTGGAGGAGGAAGGCAGAGTTACCATTTAGCTTCTTCATTTCACTGGACATTTTCTCAATATTTTGAATTGCAGCCTCAAGGTTAAACTGCCCAGCAGCAGCAACATTTTTGGTGTCCTGTATGGAATAGGAACAAAACATAATTGGCAGGGTGTATGTGATTCATAAACCCATTGAAATAGCAGTGAAATTGTTTGCTTTGATTTTCTTAATTAACATTTGAACTGAAACTTCCCCTGTTTTGTAATTATCCACTTAGATATGGCAAATTACAACTATTGAAAGCAGGTACTAAACACTCAGGGTAGGGTTGTTTCTTTTCTGTCACTTCATTTATTTATTTATTTATTTATTTTTTACAAAGAGCTGCAGTGAAATGAATCCTGGCTACAATTTCCTCTCCTCACCAGCATTTGTTTCGTTTTTGGTTTCGACCTTTTTCCTACAGGCTCAAAATTAAAATTAATCCAGTGACATCATCAGCCACAAGATGGAGCTCCTGTGACATTGATGAGCGTAATGGAATGGTCACTGTTAGCACTGAGTGTTAATGAACCTGCCACGACCTGCCCAGAAACATTTGTGTCTGTGCAGGTGATAAGTTTGTTATCAACATCTTTTTGCTTCCTTTGGAAATCATATTCCCACCCTTTAACATTTACCTAAAACCCAGTCAAAATCTAGAAACAATTGACTAGAAACCATTTGAATTAAGTATCATTTTATCATAAATTTATACTAGACTCCTTTTCAAGATTCTTTTTTCCCTTAGGAAAAATATTTAAGAGAAGTGCACATATCACGTTTTCTGGCTTAGGTATAAGCTCTTTATTTATCATTCAGAAATTCTAAAAATAAAATCTGGGAAAACTCTGGGTGATCCATAAATAACATTCATTGTGTGGAACACCTTGGCACGTTGAGAAATATGACCAAAATATATCATACATTTATCACTGACTCTTTGCCTGAGTCCCTCTTCCCTTCACACAGTGGTTTCATGGCGAGCTCATCAGCCAGGGCCAAAGATCCTAAAAAGACAACCCTCAAAATTATTAAGGATTAATACATATAATATAGAGATATATCTTACATAAAAATATATAATAGCATTTGAAAACTATCATGATTAGACCTCATTTTCATTAGTGTTTTTTGGAAAGTAGAGTCAAAGAGGTCAAAGAGTTTTAATTCTTCTTGAGGAAGAATAAAAATCTTGGATTTTGTGTCTTTTACTGTCGACTTGAGACAGCATTTCAGAATTTTTTAGGAGTTAAGCATTAATAGTGAATAAGTACATATATAGGGATAAAGAATTCCTCAAACACATTCCTGTATTTATTTTAATTGAAAGCTTCCTGAGAGATCTAAAAAGACATTGAATTTTTTTTTCTAATATCAATTTATGGAAGGAAAAGCTGAAGCACACACGAAAATAGTCACGTGTTGAGTGTGATGGTGCATCTCCCCCAGGCCACATTGTGATTTGAGATTCTTTAAGTGACCATAAAACACTGTCTGCTGGTCAGTGACAGAGCTGAGATTAAATACCAGATCCCTGGGCTCGCTCTTCCCCCACTCTTCCTGCTCCTCTCTCCTCACGGATCAGGACACCCTCAGGCAAGCTGAAGTGTGTGACCTCACTGGAAAGCTGTTTCAACACTGAAAAAAAAAAGGGGAGAAAAAGAGGGTCGTTATTTCACCCTGGGATGTGTTTTCAGAACAGGCACAATGGAATGATGAGGACACTGAACCCCTCTGGGAGTGTCTCCCAAATGTCCCACAGTGAGGGCACAGCTCCTTTGCCTCCTTTAAAGAGGAGCATCAGAGACTTCAGGGGGGTTTTGGTGCTTCTCTCCTGCTGCCACGGAGCTGTCTGGGCTGTCCCTGAAGAAATCAATCTCCAGCCCCTCATCACATGTCTCTGCTGCTCCCTCTCCCACACATTCTTCCCCTGCTCCTGTGTGTGGTGCCTACCACAGGAGACGGTCCTCCCAGACTTCTCCAATGTGTAAATTGGTTTATGTTGCAAGGAACCATGGAGGTAATCTGGTTCCAAGCCCCTGGTCATGGGAAGGGACACTTTCCACTGGACCAGATTGCTCCAAGCCCTGTCCAACCTGGCCTTGAGCACTTCCAGGTGCTGGTGGGGTCTCCAGTCAGCAGCCACACAGCCCTTTCCACCATCAATGAGGACACTGTTGTCACCACAGCCTGGCTGCTTCCTGGCAGGCACTGGGACAAGATGGTCCCTCCAGTTTGGAACAGCCCCCTTGGCCTGGGGCAGCCCAAAGGCTTCACTGCCTGACGTTCATCAGCAGGGAAAGCCCTGTGACGTGTCCCTCTTCCAGCACCTGAGGGGTCAGCAGGCTGCAGGAGCCCTGGAGGAGTTATGATTTCAGGAGTGGGAGGTGAAATGTAACCTCAAATGCTGCAAGGGCTGAAGAAGAAACGGAGAAGAGAGGGGTGGGGTGTCAAGGGGGAGGTGGGGAATGGTGAATGAATTTCCTCTTGTGCTTTGAGACCTGACTGCTTGTTGCAGCAACTAATTTATAAACAAACAGTTCCTTTTTGTCATTAACTTAAATTCACATGGGGTAACTATGATGAGCAAAGCTCAGATCATGAACCTAAACTCAAGGAAGACAAGAGAAGCACTTTGCTAGACTGATTTATCAATTTAGACTGTGTCAAAACACACAGTCAAACACTGCCCTCAGATGCACTTACCTGACCTGAGTTCAAACCAA